CCTGTATCTAGCCTAGTACCCTACTAGGTACGGGCCTGAAGGCCCTGAACACTTACTACTCTATTTGGCGGCTACTGGACCACCCACCTAGCCTAGTGGTTCCCAGGACCTACCTGAGTTGTTGAAAATTCCGACCATGCTTCTGGCCAATTCTACCTTTGGTCCTGGCGCTAAAACTACCCCTTAACAGAACCTACCAGTACTTTCCATCCTGCCCCTGGCCGTCTCTCTACTCCTACCTTGTCCCTCTTCAAGGCACAGCCACACACACACAGCCAACAGAGTTAGCACACAGACGCAGACTCAAGCCAGGCAAGCACACGGCACCTGCATCGTAGTAGTAGGTTCACACATACTTCGAAATCACAGCAAATCACAGCAAATCACAGCAAAACAGACTCAGGCTCGGGACTCTCAGAAAACAGGCCAGAGGAACCTCATTTTCTCAAAACTGCAGTTCGCAGACAGTGATCTGTGTGGTTCATTGCACTTTACCTTTCTGTCCCCATGTTCACAAGTTTCACGTCTGCTGTTTCTGTTTCTCGGTTGGAAAAAAAAAAGCATCTCCTTTTTCGAGGCTGTATAGTCGTGGGCATGAAGAAACAGGAATGCTCTTCTATCAGCACAGTAAGGTTGGAGTGAAATGTTTGATGGATTTGTGAAAACGATTTCACCGGTGATGGGTTTCAAGGACACTCGTGTGATTGTGTCAAATAATGGTCAGGTAGATCAAAACTCTCGTCTAATGCAAAATTGTATGGTTACCGTGCCTTTTTCTCTACGTTTGACGAGTGTCTTTTGTGGAGTAATATTTGCGAGCTGCAGGTCGGACCTCTGTGCATGCGCAACCAGTCCACTGACAAGCTGTTTTGATTCCACTGTCTCTGATCTTTGGTTCTCACTTTGGGTCCCCCACTCCACGTCCAGGTCAGTGCTCCTGAAGGGGTAGATATGCAGACAATGGCCACGTGCAGGTATTGAGTGAGACGCCTTTGTTGAAACCCCACTTATTGAGGCCCGGGCCCTTCCCGGCTGTCCGGGCCCTGCTATGCATGCAACACCATCTGCATCACATGGTAGTGTGACATTACACACTTTTCCTCCGGCTGGGGGACGAGGTTTACTTTCATGACAGTCGATGCCGGCATGGCCATTCTTGGACGATAGCTGACTGGTGATAGGAGACGCATCGATCTTCTGCAAAGCCCAGATGAAGAGAAGAGTGTGAAGGTTTAGTTCGACCTCGTTGGACGAGTTCAGCTCTTGTTCCCACTGAGACAATTATCTACGTTGTCTCTCTTTTGCTGGTATCAGAGGCGGTTCCACCCGAGTGAACATGGATGATGGGTGTAGCTCTGTGAAAAAAGAGCTGGAGAAAGGGGAAGAGGTTGAGAAGAATGGAGAGTGCATGCCGTGTACCGAACTAGCAAGATCATTAACGGCGACAGGGAAATCAGGGTGTGACAAGTTGCCATGCAGTCCAAATGTGGTAGTCCATGATGAGCCACCGGGGGGATTTGGAGGAAATACGGTAAATGATACGTTGTTCGCAGGAGAACGCCTCAGTGATGGCGGTCTTCAGGATGGACTATCTTCAGAAGCCAGTGGTGTGGTCATTGACGATGGGAGCGAAGAACTCAAGGACGATAATGGTCAAGAAGGAAGAACTGCAGAAAATGAAGGTGGGCCGATGTATGATATCAATTGGATCCCAGGGCCAAACGGTGTGCTCAATGCAGAGAAAATCCATCGTTACAGTCGCCACCTCCTTGTCCCTGGGTTTGGGGTGGCTGGGCAGAGAGGCCTTGTTGAAGGTTCGGTATTGATTGTTGGCGCTGGGGGCCTAGGATCACCAGTCGCACTATACCTTGCTGCAGCTGGAGTGGGTCGTATTGGGATTGTTGATCATGACACAGTGGACAAAAGCAATCTTCATCGCCAAATCATCCATAAAGAGAACTGGGTGAATGCATCGAAAGCTGTGTCCGCTGCGGAGGCATGTCGTGCCATCAACTCAACCATCGATGTCACTCCCTACCAGCATGCCTTCACTGCAGAGTGTGCTCTTGATCTCGTCCGTGACTACTCGGTTGTTGTGGATGCGACTGACAATGTAGGTTCGCGGTACTTGATCAGTGATGCCTGTGTCATCGCAGGTAAACCATTGGTTTCTGGCGCGGCGGTGTCACTCTATGGACAACTAACAGTATTGAATTACAAGGGTGGCCCGTGCTACCGTTGCCTGTATCCTGACCCTCCAATGCCTGTAGCCTGCATGAGGTGTGCAGACGCTGGCGTCTTGGGTGTAGTGCCCGGGATCATTGGTTGTCTGCAGTCACTGGAGGTAATCAAGGTCCTGTCGGGGCTTTTGGAGCCACTTTCACAGCAGCACTTGTTCTTTGATGCTCCAACGAGCAAGTTCAGTATCTTCAAAATGGCACCTCCGAGACCGGACTGCGCAGCCTGTGGAAAGGACCCCAAGGTGCATGCTGGAAACCTCCACCAGTTTGACTACGCAGCATTTGTGAAAGCGCCTCTGTCCGATACAGGAAAACCTCGGAAACAGCTGATCCCAATGACACAAGCGGTCAGTTGTCAAGATTTCAAAAAGGCTATGCTCTCGAGGAGACCATGTGTTCTTCTTGATGTCCGTGAACCGCACGAGTTTGCCATCGCTTACTTGCCCGATTCCATAAACATACCATATCGTCAGCTGGCAAACAGAATCGACGAGGTCAGAGAAGCAATGTCTCGAGCGTCCACTCGCACAACAAGTTCCCAGGAGGTAGGCACAGTTCAGTCTGGTAATTTAGGCGATGTTGACAAGCATGTTGTTGATGGAAATGAAGAGGATGTGCCTGTGTACGTACTCTGTCGTCGTGGAAACCACTCACAGCTGGCCACAATTCTCCTCAGGGAAAAGGGCTTTCTAACCGCGTTCGATATCACTGGAGGTCTGGAGTCATGGTCAAAGGACGTGGATCCATCTTTTCCACAATATTGACCTGTTGTCACTGTCGATGATAGTTACTATGCCCGTGGAAGGCTAGGTGTCTGTGTTCGCACGGACATTTGTCAAAGGGAGAGTGGAGATACCCCCCTGTCCACAGAAGTTGGGAGGACATGTCCTCCCGTAGTTCCATGTCTTTCCCAAACCTCTGCCATCTCTCTCTGTCTCTTCCATTTGGACTTCCCTCATAGCGCCCAGCTTCCATCCCAACTACCCTCCCCTCTTCGTGTGCCTCTCTCTCTCTCTCTCTCTCTCTCTCTCTCTCTCTCTCTCTCTCTCTCTCTCTCTCTCTCTCTC